ATTAATTTCTTTTTTACCATTAGACTAAAGCAAAGGGGGGAAATGGCCTTCATAATGATTGGATGACCATGATAGGATATGAAGTAAATCAGAAAACTATAAAATAGCTAGGACAAAAAAAGAAAGAAATGTAACTCTTAAATTTATTTTCTGATTCTTCATCTATAAACATTGTTTGCTAATGTTTTAAGTTAATTCACTTTGTAAAACACCTTATGAATTTTATTATAGTAATAGGGTTGGAAAGAAAAAAAAAATACCTCCCTTACCTTCCCTAGGCACTAATTTTAATTTTTTGGTGCCACTACTGAAGAATTTCTAATTTGGCTCATCACTTCGGTGGGAATTCAGTGCACATAAGAGGCACATATGTAATTGGCAACCTAATTTTTCTGCTTTCATCAAATGGTGCAATGCCAAATCTTTATTGAACTTGCCAGTTAAATGCACTTGGGAAGCAAACAGCAGCAAGCATAAGAGATGAAAATGAACAAACTGGAAAGAGTCATTAACTTTCTGTTTTCCTATCACAACAAAAATTGTATCATTGAACGTGCAGCAACATGGGAAATTCTACTTGAAACATTAAGCAGTCTTAAAATAGAATAATTCATTTATATAACTTCTAAAATGTTGTTTATTATAATTTATAAATGGGAATTCTAGTACAGATTTTTTAAAAACAGAAATACAAAACAGTTAAAATGAATCAACTTTTTAGAATGTGCTGTAGGTGACATTTTCATTTGTTTTATTTTGTCTAGTGTATATAAATTCTAGACTTTATTTGGCAAGCAAAATTGTTAGAAAATTAAGTGAGAAATGTTGGCTTTATTTAAAACCTTAATGAATAAAGGCAATCAACAGATTGTCATGGTTCTCACTAATTATGGGTACAATTTGAGAGTGTGAAAATTACAATCAGTTGTGGTTACCAAAATGCCCTTGAAATATCTGGTCTAATGTATAATTTTAAAACATGGACTATAGAGTCATTATTAAATTATCATTAGTGATGAAAATTAAATAAAGAATGAGAACAATAAAAGCTCCCAAAACTTGCCCAATATAATTGAGTGTCACCCTTAAAGGGGTACAAAACTTTTAAAAAAAATTTGTTTACAGCTCTTAAATAAACCAAATATTTATTTGCTCAGTGCAAACGTTCAGATCAGGAATATCTCTTCTAAAAATCCATTTTGCATTGATAGTGACATTCTTTAATAAAGACTTCATAGAAAAGTTTCCTAACTTTTTTTCATCTATAAGTGTTAGCTAGGACTTCCTAAGTACAGTCACCACTTAGGACTTCCTCACCTAATCTTAGAAATGAACATTCCTGCAATAGAAAAATGCCAAAAGACTATAGATAAGCTTTTTCATGATTACCAAAAGCTCTAAAGAAACTATTAAGATTTTCAACTAAGCCAAGATTTCTGAATGGCAGTATGAACAGTAGAGTAAGACAGACCAAGGTTGAGTTTCAGCCTCATCACTTGACCTGTGTGTGATCTAAGGTTAACTACCTACACTCCCCAAACCTGACATTTCTGATCTGTGAAATTGAAGAAATAATAATAGCTTTTAAAAATGTGGGCACACACTTTAAATCCCAACATCCTTTGTTAGTGCATCTATTTTTCAATGCTTAATCAAAGAAGCTATAACATCCTATATTTATATGTTTTTCATATATTTGTCCACTTGTTCCAACTTGCTGCCCATTCTTGATTATATGCTTAAACCACTTTTAATGGACTTAAAGAGACTCTAAACTCTTTATATTAGACATAAAGGAATCAGGGAAAAGAAAAAATCAGTATGAAAAACCCAAAGACATAGCAATGATCAGGAGCTACTAATAATGAGAAAATATATAAAAACCGAGTTGTCAACCTTTCCATCACCTCCCTAGCTCCTAAATATTCTTAGGTTCCTTTTGTCACATTTGTGAAAATAATAAATAAAAAGAGTTTTCCACAGTTGTCTCCCAAAAGCAGGATTGTTCCCATGCCTAAATAAATGCACAATAACTGCTAACACTCATTCAAAAATACACCTTGATTTTACACCGAATTGATTCACATTTCTGAAGTCAGATCATGGCCAATCACATTATTTAGAAAACATCCCTACCCACCCCCCAAACCCCAACACACACAACTTTGAAAGTGACAGATCGCTTGATTCCTGTACACTTTTCTGATACAGTAATGTGCCAGATCACAAAGATCCTGTAATTTGGGCTGGAGGCTAGTTAAGGTATAAGGGATGTGTTGTCAGGTGTACAAACTTAACACTGGGGATGTATTATCTATCCAGATATGGTCCTACACGCCAACATAATGGGCTTACAAATGTTTCACAGCCCTAACCGGTCTGGCTGAATGGATAGAGCATTGGCCCTCGAACTGAAAGGTCCCGGTTTGATTCTGGTCACGGCATGTACCTGGGTTGCAGGTTCCATCTCCAGTAGGTGGCGTGCAGGAAGCAGCTGATCCATGTTTCTCTCTCATTGATGTTTCTAACTCTCTACCCCTCTCCCTTCCTCTCTGTAAAAATCAATAAAATACATTTTAAAAATGTCTCACCAACACACAGTTAAATGTATTCCATCTGCTGTACTGCCTGCTCAAGACATAAATGCATGTATATAGGAGTAGAGATAAAGAAGGGGCTGGATGGGAAATAGTTCAGGACCCAGTGTAAAATCAGACAGTGCAATGGGCGAGAGGATCCAGGGAAAACACATTAAGAATGCAACAGCACCACGCATCAGAAGTCCTCTCCATCTCTAAACTGGCAACTTTTCTCCAGGGGGCCATCAGTCAAACCAGGTGAACGTGGTAACTGGTTCTGTTTGTAATCCCCTTGTTGTCCAGGGCCTTCTGTGTAGTAACCCAAGTTTCACGCCGGGTCACAGTGCCCATGCTTTCATTATCCCACAGAAGAACTGATTGCTGTCAATGGTTCCTGGAAGGTGTGACCTGCTTTGAGGACAGAAGCCCCGAAGGGAAGAGAGACCTGTCAGGATGTGAATAGGCTGGGTGAGAGTGAAAAGAGCCTCACAATTTCCTCCCGGGGCGGAGGCAGAGAAAGAAGATAACAGCGGTGGTTTGCAGAGGACGGAGACCGTGCCTTTTCAGCATCCCCGGGATCCCTTCCCTGAGCGTGAGCCTCCCCCTCTTGTTCTCTCTGGACCTGCCCGTGCGCTCGGATTCCACTGGAGCACAAGGCTGGGCTCCGGGGAAAGCCAAGTCAGCACGGGCAGAGGCGGCGTCCCCTGAAATGAAAACTCAGCACGGGCCGGCAGGGGTGTGCACGCGTTAAGGCGAG